AGTCTTTCTTGATATTTGTTGATTCACTATTTTATCTTCATTTGGGCTGATCTTTGTGATTTTCGAGAGCCCGAGAGACTAGAGAGGTTAAGGACTGAGTAAGGCTGAGGGCCGGTCGGTGAGGTAAGGATATTATGGCACGTGAGTTGTCTGTGCAGGATATTATAGCACATGAATTGTCCTTGCAACACGTGAGTTGTCCATGCGCATTATGGTGCTTAGGTTGTAGGAGCCCCTCCGGAGTCTGTACACCCCCAGTGAGCGCGGGTACCCATTGAATGTGAGTGCTGAGGGCTGAGAGCCAAGTGGTTGAGCTCTTATGACGAGTTGAGTGATTGTTGCCCAGAGAGGCTGTACTTGCTTTTCATTTGTTGTTGCATTTAGTTTCTATCTATCATTGTTGTGAAATTCTCTGAAAGATTCTATATCCGGATTACATGAACATGAACTGTATAAAATTGATTTGACTTAAACTGCTGGATTTGAAAGCATGTCTATTCTTTGCTGGAATTACTGAAAATTAACTATAACTATATAGCTAGTCACTATCTTCAGTTCCTTAGTTATTATTGTTACTTACTGAGTTGGTTGTACTCATACTACACCCTGCACTTCGTGTGCAGATCTAGGTACTTCTGGACATAGCGGGTGTTGATTCTCTCATGCAGTTGATCTTCCGGAGATTTATAGGTGGTTGCCGTGTTTTGCAGACCTTGTCTCTCCTTCCCTATCTCCTTGTTTACCATATTTTGGTCTTAGACTGTTATATACCATATTATTTCCAAACTTGTATTCATATTAGATGCTCATGTACTTAGTGACACCAGGTTTTGGGGAGTGATCGCATCAGTATTTGGGGGATTTTGTATTGTATTTAAATATTATATTTTTAAACTTAAAAGAAATTATGGTTTATTGATATTATCGGCTTGCCTAGTATCGAAATAGGCGCCATCATGACAGGTTGGGAATTTGGGTCGTGATAAGTTGGTATCAGAGCCTAGGTTGCATAGGTCTCACGAGTCATGAGCTGGTGTAGTAGAGTCTTGCAGATCGGTACGGAGACGTCTGTACTTTTCTTCGAGAGGCAGCAGAACCGTTAGGAAAACTTCACTTTTTTGTATTCTGTCGTGCGAATTTGTTGATTCCGGAAACTAAATTTCTGTTATTCTATTCTCTCACGGATGGTGAGGACACATACTACTGGATCAGATGGTCAGCCACCAGTGCCACCAGTTAGGGCCACGAGAGCCCGGGGCCATGGTAGAGGTCGTGGCCGAGGTAGAGGTCGAGGTGTAGCTCGTACTACAGTTGGAGCCGCACCTGTAGTACCACCAGTTGCTCCAAGTCAGGATCAGATTCCAGATATAGGTAAGCCGACAAAACCAGCTCTGGCACCAGCTGTGCCTATTGAGATTCCAGGCCTTCAGGAGACTTTGGCCCAGATATTGATAGTTTGCACTTTTCTTGCTTAGGTGGTCTCGGCTCAAGCCGCACCTACCAATTCTCAGGCTGGGGGAGGTACTCATACCCCTATTTCCCGTAATCCAGACCAGGTAGTACAGGGACTTAATATACCGGGGGCACCACCAGGCTAGCCGGTTTCAGCTGTTCAGGCCCTGGTAGTTCCTGTTATGGCAGATGATGAGCAGTGGAGACTTGAGAGATTTGAGAGGCTTCGACCTCCACCATTTAGCAGTGTTGAGTCAGAGGATGCTCAGGGTTTTCTAGATATGTGTCAACGGATGCTTCGGGCATCGGGTATTCTAGAGACCAGTGGGGTCTCGTTCACTACTTTTTAGTTTTATAGGGCTGCCTTCAGATGGTGGGAGGCTTACGAGAGGTGTAGGCTGGTCGGTGCAGCACCCCTTACCTTGCAGCAGTTCTCCGATCTATTCCTGGAGAAGTTTGTACGTCAGTCCAGCAGAAAGGAGCTGCGTAGGCAGTTCGAGCAGCTTTGTCAGGGTGATATGTCCGTGACACAGTATGAGATGAGATTTTTAGAATTGGCCCGTCATGCTATCTGGTTGATTCCCACAGACAGAGAAAAGATTAGGAGGTTCATAGATGGCCTCACTTTTCAGCTACAATTACTCATGACTAGAGAGAGTGTGTCTGGTGCTACTTTCGACGAGGTTGTCGACATTGCTCGTCAGATTGAGATGGTTCGTAGCTAGGAGCGGGTTGAGAGGGAGGCTAAGAGGCCTCGTGGTTCAGGTGATTTTAGCGGTGTTCATTCAGGGGGTCAGTTTTACTGCGGTAGGGGTCATTCTTACAGATACGCTGAGACGGGCCGTCCAACTCATCGTGGTGCATTAGCTAGCCACGATTCTTATAGTGCTCACTCAGGCCAGTCTTCATTCAGTTCTCTACCAGCAAAGAGTTCTCATCATGCCTCATCCGCTCAGGCTTCTACAGGTAATTCTTTGGGTTATCAGGAGTAGTAGTTCCATCAGAGGAGGGGTTGTTTCGAGTGCGGAGAATTGGGTCATTTCAAGAGAGATTGTCCTAGGCTGTTGAGTTGGGCTCTACATCAGAGTTCTCGACCGACGGCACCAGCACCAGCAGTTACACCACCCGCCTAGCCAGCTCGGGGTGAGGGTCAGGAAGCTAGGGGTCACCCAAGAGGGGGAGGCCGGTCAGGTGGCAGTCAGGCCCCGATTCTATGCTTTTTTTGCCAGGCCAGATGTTCTTGCCTCAGATGCATTGATCGCAGGTATTGTTTCAGTGTGCCACAGGGAGGCTTCTATATTATTTGACCCTGGTTCCACTTATTTATATGTATCATCGTATTTTGCTCATTATCTGGATATGCCCTATGAGTCCTTAGTGTCACTTGTTTGTGTATCTATACCGGTGGGCGATATTATTACTGTTGACCGTGTGTATCGGTCGTGTGTGGTAACTATTGGGAAACTGGAGACTAGAGTTGATCTCTTATTACTCGATATGGTTGATTTCAATGTAATCCTGGGTATGTATTGGTTATCTCCATGTCATGATATTCTGGATTACCACGCAAAAATCGTGACGTTTACGATGCCGGGGTTTCCAAAGGTTGAATGGAGAGGTTCTCAAGATTTTGTTCATAGCAGGGTAATTTTTTATTTGAAGGCCCAACGTATGGTTGGAAAGGGATGTTTGTCATATTTGGCCTTTGTGACAGATGTTGATACAGATACTCCTATTATTGATTCAGTACCGGTCGTGCGAGAATTTTCAGATGTATTTGCTACAGACCTGCTGGGTATGCCACCCGATAGGAGTATGGCATTTCACCCTCATATAGACGGGCAGTCCCAACACACTATTCAGATGCTGGAGGATATGCTTCGTGCGTGTGATAGATTTTGGGGGTGCTTGGGATCAGTTCTTACCACTTGCAGAGTTTGCTTACAACAGTTATCAGTCGAGCATTCAGATGGCTCTGTATGAGGCCTTGTATGGTAGGCGGTGCCGGTCTACAGTGGGTTGGTTCGAACCGGGTGAGGCTAGGATATTAGGTACAGACTTGGTTCAGGATGCCTTGGAAAAGGTTAAATTGATTCAGGATCGACTTCGTACAGCCCAATCTAGACAGAAGAGTTATGCGGATCGGAAGGTTCGTGATGTTGCATTCATGGTGGGTGAGAGGGTCTTGCTCCGGGTTTCGCCTATGAAGGGTGTTATGAGGTTCGTGAAGAAGGGCAAGTTAAGACCTAGGTATATTGGGCCTTTTGAGATTCTTAAAAGAGTTGGAGAGGTGGCTTACAGACTTGCACTACCACCTAGTCTCTCTGCAGTTCATCCGGGATTCCATGTTTCTATGCTCCGGAAGTATCATGACGATCCGTCTCATGTGTTAAACTTCAGTTTAGTTCAGTTGGACAAGGATCTATCATATGTTGAGGAACTAGTGTCTATTTTGGACAGGCAGGTTCGAAAGCTGAGGTCAAAGAACATTGCTTCCATGAAGGTTCAGTGGAGGGGTCATCCGATCGAGGAGGTTCCTTGGGAGACCGAGCATGATATGCGCAGCCGTTATCCTCATCTTTTCACCACTCCAGGTATAATTCTACATTCAAGGACGAACTTTTGTTTAAGAGGTGGAGAATGTAATGACTCAACCGGTCATTTTAACTTTTAGAGCCCCATTCCCCTAAATAAAACTCCCCGTATGTGCTTTTATAAATTTATGACTTGCGGGGATGGTTGGTTCGAGATTTGGAAGTGTTCGGGTCGAAATCGGAACATTTGGTTCCTTAAGTTGGCCTTAAAATGCTAAGTTTGACTTCGGTCAACATTTTGAGACAATGACCTCGGAATAGAATTTTGATGATTCCAACAGTTTCGTATGGTGATTTTTGACTTAGGAGCGTGTTCGGAATTTTATTTGGAAGTCTGTAGTTAAATTAGGCTTGAAATGGCTAAAATAGCAATTTAAGTTTGGAAGTTTAACCGGGGAGTTGACTTTTTGATATCGGGGTCGGAATCCAGTTCCGAAAATTTTTATAGCTCTGTTATGTAATTTGTGACTTGTGTGCAAAATCTGAGGTCAATCGGATTTGATTTGATAGGTTCCGGCGTCGTTTGTAGAAATTGAAAGTTTCAAAGTTCATTAGGCTTGAATCTATGTGTGATTCATGTTTTTAGTGTTGTTGGATGTGATTTGAAGACTAGACTAAGTTCGTATGATGCTGTAGGACTTGTTGGTATATTTGGTTGAGGTCCCAAGGGGCTCGGGTGAGTTTCGGATGGTTAACGGATCAAATTCGGACTTAGAAGAAAAATCTGAAGTTTCTGCCTTCTAGTGTAATCGCACCTGCGGAACATGGCTCGCAGGTGAGACCACGCAGAAGCGCAATGGACCTTGCAGGTGTGCAAGGTTCACTGAAGCAGACAGGAAACCCGCACAAGCGAGCTTGCAGGTGTGAGCAGAGATGCGCAGAAGCGGGGGTTGGGCTGGTGACTGTGGAGCGATATGCGGAAGGCATCTCGTAGGTGCAGACACGCACCTACGCATGGGTGATCGCATAAGCAAAAATTTTGCAGAAGCGAGGGAAAAATCCACAGAAGCGGATGCGCATAAGCGGTTCAAATTCCGTAGGTGCGAGACTCCTGGACAGAATGTTAAAGACAGAGGAGTCTGGGATTTTGTCAGTTTTGACATTTCCAAACGCGGGTGAGGCGATTTTTGAGCGAGAAATCACTGGAAATTTTGAGGTAAGTCCCTTGTGAGCCTTTCTACTTCATAATATTGAATTATCATCGAATAATCCGACTATATTACATGTTTTTGGGGAGTAAATCGGGAGTTTGAACTTAGGGATTTAAAAATACGATTTGAAGATTTGGAGGTCAAGTTGAGGTCGTATTTTGGTAAAATTAGTATGGGTAGACTCGTGGTTGAATAGACGTTAATATTTCGTAACATTCGCCAGATTCCGAGACGTGGGCCCCACAAGCCATTTTTGAGTTAATTTTGGATTTTTATTGAAAATATAGTATTTCTTATGGAATTGATTCTATAATTTTTGTTGACTGTATCGAATTAATTATGACTAGATACGAGTCGATCGGAGTCGGAAAATCAAGGAAAAGGCATACTACGTGATTAAATTGGAGCAAGTCAAGGTAATTGACTTGTCTAACCTTGTGTGGGGAAAATTTCCCCTAGGATTTGCATTGAAGTGATAAATTGAAATGTGTTGAAAGTCTTGTACACGAGGTGACGAGTATGTACGCGGGCTAAATGTGAAAGACTATGTCTTTAAATTGTGTAGTTCGCTGCTGCATATTAATTAAATAATTTTACCTTGTTATATTCTTCATCATTGATTTAATTATTTATACTTTAAATTTGTTTGACCTTTTCCTGCTAATTGTTTTACCTGTTAAGTTGAAACATGGTTTCTTTTATTCTGTACATTATTTGAAGGTTGATTTTCTTTAAATTAAATATTATTAATATGAATTATTTGACATTTTAAATTTAGTATTCAAGCAACGTATTAAAATTTTGAAATATTATTTTGTTGAGTTATTTATTCCTAAATATTTATGTGAGATTTTCGTACTCAATGTGATGGAGCCGAGAGCTCTTTATTATGGAAAAATATTGTTGATTTATTTTGGCAAATTGAAATATTTGGGCACTTGAGGTGCAAATTGTGATATATTGTGATATTGATACGCATGCAGTAGTATAAGGTTTGGGTGTTGAAATACATGCGGTGAGATAAGGGTGGCTTGATACGCATGACTAGTAGGGAAAACTACTAGAAGTCATGCGGTGTGATAAGGATGGCTAAAACGCGGGATGCTATATCGAGGAAAAATATTTTCTTTAAAATTGAATGTGAAGGCTCCCACGGTGATATAAGGAAATGAGATATTGTGAATTTATTTATGATTTGGGACTACGAGGCGGTACCTCGGGAGTGCCCTTGTTGATATTGATTGATGGCCGCAGTTGCCTTTGATTATTGTTGTGATTTTCTTGAAGTTGAAAAGAATTCTATTTTGTTTCCACGAGGTATTAATTGCTATTATTTGGTGTAATTAAATGGTGACATACTAGTTGATTCATTTTCATTGTCATTTTATCTTATTATATTGTTAAACATTTTTACCATGCCATTATTTATTTTCCAGTAGGGCCTGACCTGACCTCGTCACTACTCTACCGAGGTTAGGCTTGGCACTTACTGGGTACCATTGTGGTGTACTCATACTACGCTTCTATACATCTTTTTGTGCAGATCCAGGTATATCTTATCAAATCAGGCATCAGTAAACTAGCTGTACGAGAAGACTTCGAGGTATATCTGCCAGCGTCCGCAGACTCCGGAGTCCCATTCTATCTTACTATATTGTCTTCCTTATTTGTTTTAGACTCTGATGTATAGAGACATAGAGAATAAATTCTTAGAAGCTTGTGACTTATTTCTACCGGGCTTTGGGAGTTGTAATTATTTGAATTGTAGTTTATTTATTTCAGATATCTATTAATATTCCGCATTAATAGGCTTACCTAGTCTTAGAGACTAGGTGCCATCACGACCTCCTACGGAGGGAATTTAGGGTCGTGACAGCATCACCCTTTGTGCATTAACACTCATATCATGGCACGACATCACCCTTCGTACATTAACACTCACAGTATGACACATCATCATCCTTCGTGCTTTTACACTCACAATATGGCACAACATCACCCTTCGTGCTTTTACACTCACAATATGGCACGACATCACTGTTCGTTCATTAACACTCTCCCTTACCATAATGCAATTCATAAATAACAATAGGGAGATAGAATAACAAGTACAAGCCTTACTTTAACATTTGGTTCCACAATATCAATCTCAACTTTGAAATAAATACTCAATTATCACCAGAAAATCCGTAAACATGATAAGATCGATCAATTTAACAACACTAGGTGTGCCTAACACTATGCGTTTACGAGGAGCTGGCCGCGTTCGCGAAGGGTAACGCCCCATCACTTCACGTTCGCGACCAAGCCTTCACGTTCGCGAAGAAGACAATTCCCGCCTGACCAGTTTACTCTTCGCGTTCGCGAGAGTACCTTCGCGAACGCGAAGAAGGACATGCCAGAACACTAGAATCTACATAAAACCAGATTTCCCAAAGTTCAAACATCCCGTGACCTATGCGGAACTCACTCGAGCCCTCAGGGCTCCTAACCAAACATGCACATAAGTCTAAAAATATCATACGAACTTGCTCGCGTGATCAAATTGCCAAAATAACACCTATAACTACAAATTTAGAACCAAATCAAATGAAATTTTCAAGAATACTTTAAAATTCCTATCTTCTCAACTGGACGTCCGAATCACGTCAAATCAACTCCTTTTCTCACCAAATTTCACAAACAAGTCTTAAATATTAGAATGAAACTATACCGGGCTCCGAAATAAAAATATGGATCCGGTACTAATAATGTCACACATCAATCAATTCTTAAAAATGAATAATTTTTAGACTTTTAATTTTTCATCAAAAATTCATAACTCGAGCTAGGGACCTCCGAATTCGATTCCGGGCATACGCCCAGGTCCCATTATTTGATACGGGCCAACCAGGACTATCAAACCACAGATCCGGGCCTGTTTACCAAAAATCTTGACCGAAATCAACAAAAATCAACTTTTAAGGCAAACATTCTTATTTTCATCAATTTTCAACATAAACATTTTTTGGAAACATGCCCGGATTGTGCACGCAAATCGAGGAGGGTAAAAATGAGATTTTTAAGGCTTAAGAGCGCAGAATCGAGTTCTAAAACATAAGATGACCTTTTGGGTCATCACAAGCTATGACCGGAACATAGTCCATCTTCAAATCCAACTCCCGTCGATCGCAGCAACATGAGCATCCAATATTTGCACGCAAGGTGCAGAAGTGTGGTATGAGTACAACCGACCCCATGTACTCAATAAGTAGCAAACCTAACCTTAGGTTGAAAGTAGTGACGAGCTGGAACACAAGTCGACGTCCAACACCAATAGCCAACAACATTTCATAACAATATAATTTAAAGCAGCACAAGTAATAATTCAACAATAACATTCTCAACTTAATCATGATTTCTGAAAATAGCTTTGCCTTTCACGTATATAAATGAAAACTCAAGTCTTTTACTGAAGTTGCCAAAAATATGAGTAAGTTTGAAACAGTAATTTTTCCAAAATTCCTTTCAACAATAAATAAGATGTTTCATTTTCTTTCCACATAGCCAGTGGAAAATGCATCAATATGCCCAAATGCCAATGTGTGAGAAGTCATGAATGGCGTGATAACGTACAACATGAGGAAAAAGCATCTCTATGCATGTATGTCAAGTGTACATGTCAATGCGATGCACCTCAAAGATAAAGCCATGTGCATACTCTCAGAGTATCATTTCACTCAGTCCTCCTAGTCACTCAATCCTTTCAGTCACTCAGTCCTCCCAGTCACTCAATCCTTTCAGTCACTCAGTCCTCCCAACCACTCAATCCTCACAGTCACTCAGTCCTCCCAGTCACTCAATCCTCATAGTCACTCATTCCTCCCAAGTCACTTGGCACTCGCGCTCGGCACTCGCACTCAGTAGGTACCCGCTCTTACTGGGGGTGTGTACAGACTCCGGAGGGGTTCCTTCAGCCCAAGCGCTATAATCTGCACGGACAACTCACGTGCTGCACGGACAACTCACGTGCTATAGTATCAATATCTGTATCCGCATGGACAACTCACGTGCTATAATAAGCCAATCTGGTCTGCTGCGGCGTTCAGCCTAATCCCATAATAATAAAGTATATAAAGCCAATATGGCCTGCTGCGGCGTGTAGTCTGATCCCATAATTATCCTCACAATCAGGCCCTCGGCCTCACTCAGTCATCAATCTCTCCAGTCTGTCGGGCTCACAATATCATGAAACTAGCCCAAAATGATGATATGATGAATCAACAATTAGCAACAGAGACTGAGAGATGATATGAAATGAATGAACATGACTGAGTTTTAAAATTTCAATTTAAACAAATTCAACAACAATATGATCTCTGTGGTTCTCAATAATACTGGCATATAGCCTCAACATGATTTTAACATGATTTTCAGCTCAATAGCTCTAGTACGTAGAGATTTCCATGATTTCAGATAAGTTCAGGTAACTGCACAGTTCCACAGGAATAACAAAATCATAGTTCACACGGTGCACGCCCACACGCCGGTCACCTAGCATGTGAGTCACCTCAATACCAAACACATAACAAGTATAATTTAGGGTTTATACCCTCAGCTCCAAGATTAGAAGAGTTACTTACCTCGAACAAGCCAAATCCAATAATGAGCAAGTTGTACAATACTCTGGAAATTCCATTCCGCGCGTATCAACCTGCATACGCCTTCTTATCTCCCCAATTCAAGCCAAATGACTCGTATCTATTCAAACAATGTGCAAATTAATCACAACTTACTCTAATGCTTACAATTTAATAATTTACAAAAAATCCCAAATCTTCTTTAAAAATCGACAGGGGGGCCCACGTCTCGGAATCTAACAAAACTCACAAAATCCGAACACCCGTTCCGATACGAGTCCAACCATAATAAAATTATCAAATTCCGACATCATATTGA